GAGCCGCAGGACCCGGGCCAGGAAGGGCAGCAATCGCGGGGTGAGGACGGCCACGCACGGACAGGAGCGACACCGGTGCCGGCAGCAGGATAACCCGTGTCCCACGAGCCCGTGAACAATCGCAATAATGATAATAACAATAATAATAATAATAATAATAATAATAATAATACCAGTCCTAGCAACAAGAGCAAATAAAATAATAAAAAAATCATCGCAAAACCCCTCGGCTCCAGATTCATGGGCAGAGAGGAGTGGTGTAGAGACAGCGGTATCTGGAAATCAGCTCGCTCGGGCTCTCTATCCCTCTGTAGATGGCTGGATATATATAATCTATACACATATATAGATCTCATCTCTATCTATCTATAAAGACGAATGCCATGGATACAGCAATATCTATATATCTATAGCTATATCTAGTTGTCACCATGGTCGTTATCATTGTGCTAGATATAGATACAGATCTATCTATCTATCTATCTATCCTATAAAGACGAATGTTTTAGGTACAGCAATATGTAGGTATCATGTCTCTCTCTCTCTCTCGAGACAGATAGATAGATAGATAGATAGATAAATAGATAGATAGATAGAAGTAATGTGAAGATAGAAGTAATGAGATAGATAGATAGAAGTAATGTGATAGATAGATAGATAGATAGTAATACAAGGTGTACCCTCTATACTACTATTATTGGTATCTAAATATATTTAATACATATACATGATCTATTTATCTGTCTTAGGCGCATGTCATGGCTACAGCAATACGTAGCTAGATGCACGGCTCCGGGCTGTACTGGCACCATCGCCGCGCTCCCGGGTTGCAGCTGGAGCCGGGGAGGATGCCCGGAGCCCGGAGCCCGGAGCCGTCCTGCACCGCTCTCTCCCCCGGCTCCTGCAAGCAATAAAACCCGAGTTTCTGGCTCTGCTCAGTGCAAGTTTCTCCGCGGCTCCTCTCGGGGAAAGCTCCCGCCGTGTGTCCTCAGCAAGCGGAGAGCCGAGGACCACTTGATGAAGCCAAGACCCCTCCACCCCGCATGGCCCCGTGCAAGCCCCGCGGGCAGGGGACCCCCGCACCCCGGCTCCCCGCCCAGCCCTGCTTTGCTTTTTCCACCCCCCACCCCGGATTTGGCCCGGCTGCGGGGGAGGGCAGGGGGTTATTTCTGAGCTGTTCAGCCGCAGGGATGATGGAAGGAGGCCGAGGGGCTTTAGGCACCTGTGTCCGCCTGGTCTCCCTGCCTCCCTCCCTGCCCCCGTCTGCACGCAGCTTATCCTGCAATAGCCCTTGGGGGAACCTGCCTTCTTAGCCAGGCTCTTGCCTTCCACCTCTCCGCCAAACCTGCCCCCCTTTCTGCCTCTGTGGTCCCTGCAGACCCTCTCCCAGCTCAGGCTGCTCCCTGCCCAAGGGCATCTCCCCCCACACTGCCGCCCCCGGCCCTTTCTCCTATCCTCCCCGGGATGGCTGGGTGGAGAGAGCTGGAAGGGACTTCTCCCAGCTCCAGAGCTGGAGGGACAAACACGGAGTAGAAGGATGTTGCTGGAGGGGAGCTGAACCTGGGCTCATAGGATGCCCCTGGCTCTGCTACTGCCTCCCTCAGCCTTGGTCATGTCTCTTGCCCACCTCCTCTTCGGACCAGCAGGGCTATCTGGGACTGGAAGCAGGGTCACAGCATGAGAGGAGTAGGTCATAAGTTTAAAATGAACACAAGGAAGCTCTTTTTCTCCCAGTCCGTCATTCAAGTGTGGGACTCGTTGCCACCAGATGTGAGGGAAGCTGAGAGTTGAGCTAGATTCACCAAGGGATTGAACTCATTCTTGGAGGAAAAGGGCACCAGGCACTATTGAGCCCCGGGGGTTAAGGATACAGCCCCTGAGTCAGACCTTAAATGCTGGAGGCTGCAAGCGAGAGAGAAAAACCCTGGTCAGCCCCTCTCTCCCTTTCAGTATTGCTCTGCCCGTGTGACACAGGAGACTGGGCAAGGTGGACCTGTGGTCGGATCCAGTTCATATGTTCCTATCTCTGGCTGTCTTGCCCTTCAAGGAGCTGGGGAGCACTCGGAGAACCTGGGTTCAAAGGGGTCGCAGAAGTGCCAGGCATTTGGCCCCCACACGTGTGGTACTTCATCAGGCTGGACCTCAGGAACAAACAGGCCCATGCCAGAGCCCGTTAGAGAGCATGCTCCCGGGCAGGCCTGCTCGCTGTGTCCTGATCCTCCTCTCCCCCCACCATCCAGCCTAGGGTTTGCTCTGGGCGCTCTCCTCCGACTGTCTCCGTGCTGCATTGTAGGAGGCAATCGCATTGTGGTTTCACGACAGCGGCAGCATTATGCAGTCCTCGGTCCCGTTCCCATCACCCCCGAGTCTGTGGTTCCTCCCCATAGCCCCTGCAGCCCATCATGCCATCCTCCAGGCCTCAGATTCAGCAACAAGCCAGGGATGTTGAGCTCACATATAGGCTCAAACCTACAGGGACTCAACAATAATGGCTGAGGCAGCATCTCTATCTTCAGCCCAGTGGGGGCTGGTCCTGCTCTGAGCAGGGGGGTTGACTAGATGTGACCTCCTGAGATCCCTCCCAACCCTCATTTTCTATGATTTTTATAAGTCTATAAAGCTGAGACCATGTAGCATCATCCTCTGAAATGCCTCCACTATTAGCAAAGCCATTCAGAGGCATGGAGGACAGAAGGGACCCTTACAATCACCTTGTCTTTCCTTCAGCGCAGAAAAGAGTGGCGAACCTCAGCCTTTCATTTCTGCCTCAAGCCTGACTTATGTTTTGAGCTTGAGCATCTTTTTGAGATCTTGATACAGGGGGAGACATGGTTCATCTCCTAATCTTGGGCTTTCCGCCCACCTAATCCAGCGATTAGGTGTCAGGGTGCGCGTGGCTGCTGGGACAACAGCGTCTGTCTGCCCAGGTGCTGATGCTGTGCTCAGTGCTTGGGGGATACAAGTCAGGGTCCTTTAGCTGCCCTGTAATGAAAACAATGAGTTTTGTCCTGAGAGCCAAGGTTTTGCATCCAGGCTCTGCCATATGCAACCTTGGTCAAGTCACTTTAATGGTGCACTGAGTCCAGTTTCTGTAAAATGGGCACATTAGCACATCCCTGCCAGATTTGAAATCAATGGGCCTTAGGTTCCCAATGAGATTCACATGCAGCTTGCAAGTGGGTGTGCTGATGCTAGAGCACGGTGGGCTGGCACGAAGCAGCAGGCCAGCTCGCAAGACCGGAGGGGGACCCTGCCCTTAGGGAGCCATTTAGGCAGGGATTACAGGATGAGGGGTGCTGTGCTGTGCAGGCAGGCTCCCTGAGGCTGGCAGAAATACCACTGCTTTTAGCTCTACCTTAGCCTAACCTTTGGATCCAGGGATCTCCTACCTAGGGCCCGATTCTGCAACCCCTGTGCCATCGGCTCCACCTGCGAGCTGGGTGCCAGAAGGAACTCAGGGCTGGAGCAGAAGCAAACTGGGCCGTGGGGGGGTTGTGTGTGCAGATAACCCATTGAGCCTTCCTGCCACCTCCGCTGTGCACACGGCAATCAGTCCATGCATCAGGCCTCAGCTCTTTGCCAGCTCCTCTGACGGGTCGGAGGTGCCCCCATGCTGCAGGGATCACTTCGGGGCTCTGCAGTGGGCACGAGCATCTTTCTCCTGCTTTATTCTGTGTGGTTTTTGCATGCAAGATGCCCCTGGCAGCACATGGCAATGGGAGGGCCTCCTAGGTGTGGGCAAGCTTGCTCTGGTGCTTCACCTGAGTGGGCCGTATTCAGCGCACCCGACATAGGTAAATGTGCTGCCCTCCCCCGAGAGGTTTTGTGACAGAAAGATTGCCTGGGGCTGCGTGAGACTCTAGCAGTAACTCCCATCCTGGAGGAGCATATCCCTTTTGGTTGACACCAACGTGGGATACAAGTTCTTAAAGGAGCCCGAGAAAGGCATTCAAAGGAGCAGGCAAACTCTTGGTGAGGGGCAGCTGCTTCAGTCAAACCAAGTTGGGGTCTTGCCCCCGTGTCTGTACCGTCAGGAAGCCCAGGGCATTCATGCAGGGATCTGCTTTTACCATCCCCCTTGGAAAGCTGGACCCGATGCTCTTGTAAGGTCCTTTCCAGCCCCTAACATCTATGTATCTATGGAAGTCTGGTCCTGCACTGGACTTGCATTCGCCTGCGGGCAGTGTCTGGGGGCAGTGGTGCTATGTCCAGCCGACCTTCGCTCTGCTTGATAAATCAGTGGCCCATCACCATCACTGCCCCCCCACTGACAGTTGTCCCATAGGGCAGCGTGCAATGAGGTGCTACTTGGGTGCAGGAATGGGACTGTGCATAAAACAAAGTTTTCAGATTCAGACAAACAGGATTGTAATCCCACCTCTGTCTCTGGGAACCACGGGATGGTTACTTCCCTTCTTTAGGCCTTTATTATGTCCCTGGAAAGTGGGTAGAATAATGCCGGCCCCTGATTTGCTTCCAAAGCATTTGTCGGTCCATGCTCACGAAATGTCTCTGGCATGTTTCAGGGTTTGATCCTGTTGCTTTGTAGCACCTTTGCTTCACATCTGGCTTTTAGAGAGGAGGCTTTCCTCAAAACCCAAGGGGCATATTTTTACCTATGAATAAAATCACCCATTGAAACCACTCATCTAGGGGCATGAGTTCTCCATCACTCAAAAGTCTGTAAGCCAGGCCTGGACGTCTCTCTAAAAGAGATGCTATAGCTCACCAGACAGTATGGGCGCGAGGCAGGGATTGCTGGTGGATGTTATGAAGGCGGTCAGTCTGGATGTCTCCTTTTAAAATCCATGAATCTCTCAGTCTTCCTCCTGGATTTGCTTGGAACTGGTCTGAGGGCCCCTAGATGATTCATATATTTATTTTCCCTGTTGCCATATGAAAGGCAAACCAAGTGTGTTTCCATCTGAGACTGCTAGGTGCTTACAACACTGACATTCTCAATGAGAAAAATAGGCAGGGAGGCATCTTAGCAGCAGTTTTATTGTGTTAATAAGTTTGGCGTCTATAAGCAACATATGTAAATGACTGATATACTGTCTTGATGCCATTTAACATTATGTTGCGGAGGTGATCGGGAGCCAAGTCTGCAGCATTTCGACTACTGTGCTGGGAGCTGCCAATTTTTTTTGAAGTTTGGATTTTTAATTTAAACAAGTTAGCAATCTGCCCGCGCCAAAATAATGACTCGGACCCGTCCGTCTCCGCTGCTGCTTCCTGGGAACGTGGGTAAATATTGTGTTCATTTCTTCCTCTTCTTAGCTTGAGCTCGAGAAGCCAAATCTCAGGGAAGAATCTGTGGAGACGCTTCAGCCTCCCCTTGTGTTTGGAAAGGATCCCTTTGAGATCCAGGCTTCTCCTCTTAGCCCATGGCACCCAAAACGGTTACTCTCAGAGTAAAACAAAATATTCATCCGTGAGTAAGCACTAGCCTCCGCCAGACCAGCAAACCCCCATAGTGAAGATATGGTTTCTCTTGGCAAAAGGAACTCTTTTGCCATAAATTGAAACCACCTTGTTGGAAAACACAAATTATATTGGCAAGCAGACGCACCTAGCAACAAAAGTTGGAGATGTGCACGTGTGGTTTTTAGCCAGAATAACTCAGTTGGCAAAACTTTCTTACCCCAGTTCAGAGGATCTCAACTGAGTTGTGGCTCACAGACGAGCAAGCCATGTTCACCCTTGCCAGCCTCACCTCGTCGGAGCCTGGCTGCTGGTTTCAGTGGGCAGGGACTGACCTTATGCCGGGAATGAATATGTGGGTCCCCAGATGTTAAGGGTAAAAATCACTCTTTTGGGGGAAGTGAAGGAAGAGCTCCCGGGGCCAGCTGCAGCAATGACGTCTGAGCAGAAGTGTGTTTTGGTGACTGCTTCTGCCGCGCCAGAGCAATGGTCAGGCCCCTCTGAGA